GTATTCTAAAGGTCTAAATTTCTATGATCTGGTGTATAATTTTATCCTTTTAATTTTTTAATAAGTATATTAATATTTATATAAGCACATTGTAATATAGCTTACCCTAGAAGATTGTACTTAACTACTAAATAGTCTGCTAGTATAAGCAGGAGCATTATCTATATTAATAGCAGTTGAAATTTCCATAACAACAAAGCAAGCTAACAAATGTTTCACACAATAGTGGTTTTTCCAAATAAAGGAGTAACCCTAATAATACAGAACAAGTATCCAAAGTAACATAAACAAACTTAGAATAGCAAACCTGGAACAAGTATCTATGGAAACATAAACAAACTTGAAAGATGGAAACATTCAAACAGTATAACTATCCAAATTATAAAACTATTTACTTAACTAAAAGCAACAAGTACTAATTTCAAAAGCAATCCAAGTATAGTCTACAGTAGCCACCTATATAACATTATTTATAGTAACTGGTACCAGTAGGTCAAAATATATAGAAACAATTAAAGTAAGTTAAAAGATTTAGAAGTGCGCACAGTAAATCAGTGGATCAAAATATGCAATATTTAAAACCATATCCAAAACATACAAAACATACAAAACTCAGTCTGATCTTTATACTCAAAATACTCAAATTATGAGTGACAGTCAATGTAGATTGCTATCAGTACTAAAACCCAAACCCAGGATGGTCTGTGTACTCAAATTGTGAGTGGCAGTCAACGTAGACTGCTACCGGTCCTGAAACCCACTGGCCCATGTACTCAGATCATGAGCAGCAGTCAATGTAAACTGCTGCCGGTGCTTGGGTGCCCCTGAAACACACCGGTCAATGTACTCAGATTATGAGTGGCAGTCAACGTAGACTGCTACCAGTGCTGAAGCCGGCAAAAGTAAACTGTGACCTAATATATATTAACACTATATAACTTTCAAATAAAGTTTACACCTTAACAATTTTAATTGTACAGTGCCTCATACACCTAGGCTGTTTTGCTGTTCCCTTTTCTTTTCACAGGGTCAGGGGCCCAGCCTGAACCTGGAAAAAAACTTGGAGAACATTTTTTGAAATAATATGCTTGAGTCTGAAATGAAAAGACCAATTCCACCTCCAAAGTCAGCATCTCAGTAAACTCAAACAGCACATGACACTTTAACTATTGAATTCTGAGGCCTCTGTAAACCACCATAAAATAAAAAAGCAAAAGAAAAAAGCAAATTTTTACAGTCATTTTATACAGAGCATAAAATTATGTAGTAAAACTATGGAACTACTAAATAAACTTATCCCTACCTACAATATTTACTGGAAGTTCTAATACATAAGGCTTGACAACAGCGATTTATCCACTAACACTAGAAATTGTTTTCTATTCTAGACTAATAAATTATAGATACTGGCCAAACTTATTGCAGTTTATAATTTGAGTAGTCCAATTAAAGGGCCAGTCATCCTTTTTAATAATAGAAATATCTAATTTAAAATCAACCAAACATACAAAAGATCTATCTTGAATTTTAAAATTAATATAAGGCTGTTGTGCTTATAGCATCATAGCCCAATTAAGAGAAATAGGATTAGTACTTCCAAATCCTCCAATTCTTTTTTTGGAAAGATCATCCGACAGGTATAAAAGGAAGAAGAATCAACTGAACAATTTTATCACCTATAGTAAAAGGATATTAGTAGTAAAGAAAATTTGAATTTTATCTTTAAAATCTGCATCAATTATTTTTGGATTCAAGCAGGTTTATTGTAGAGACTACCTGCTAAAACTTCATACATTTTGATGGCCTCACCCAAAATACTTTCAAAATGGAGTGCTATGAAATTGTTACTAAATCTATTCTGTTGAAGCTCAATGAATAAATGTGCATCGGTGCTACCTTATATTTTTATTTAGACACATTAATAAGCTGTTTACTCAGATTGAATGAGAATGAAATTTAATTTAATGGCGTATGTGACAAAATTCAGAAACACATTAAAACAGACATTTTTATATCCATGAGTTATAAAACTACAAGTCCCTAAAGCAATCAAAGAAAAGTGAGACAGTTACACTTTTAAGATTACAGTTTAATGTTTTTCTTCAGCTTAGCAGGATAGCAGGTGAGTTACTGAAACTACATTTGTCCAAATCCTGTATCAGTTTGTGTAAATGATCTTGGGGTAAAGAAATATAAATAATGTGAATACTTATTTGTACATAATTAAATTCCTGTTTTGCTAATTATGTTTACTCTAGGACTATTAAGAGCAGAATCATCTTGAAAAATTTAAAATAAATTATGTAACTTATAAGTAGGAACACGAAGCACAGAATGAAGCCAATTAATATCCCCTAAAAGCTTCTGAAATTCATTTATCATTCTTAAATTTTCTAATCGAATTTATGCCAATTGTGGATATATACACTGTCTCATCAGAGAAATAAGAAACACAGAAAACAATAGTACCTAAAAGAAAATGCAAAGAGACATCATACTACTCTACTTTTAATCTATCCATGACATTGTAGTATAGGTTCTGGCTGAGGAAAATCCATGGCTACATTAATAGGAAACGGACAGTTAGTTGCCCCTGATCGTCTATGAGGGGCCCTGAGAAAGGCTCCAGCTCCCGTCCCGAATATTGTGGTCTAGACATTAGAATAGGTTTATTCCTTAAGAAATTTCCATCAACATCGGTCTTAGATCTACAGTCTCGAGCCCTATGCACACTACGATGACATCAGGGACATTTGCCTGGTGTTCGCAGCACATTAGGACACCGCCTTTTAAAATGCCCTACAGTACCAGAGCAGAAACATTTTAATTCTGTGGAACTCTGAGAACTTGGAGCCAAGCGAAAAGAAACTAAAGATTCTTTCTTAGCAAAAGTATCAAAAAAAGACTCAAAAGACTCTGAATAAATGACTTATAGAAACTGCAATTCCGTTGACAAGAGGATGTCAAATACCTGGAAATGCAGCTTTTTACCTAACAATTTCAGAGTCAGATTTAGAGTCAGAAGTTTGTGCCAACAATTTTTGCAAAAGCCATTGTTACTCTCAACCTTCATTTAGGTTTCATTTTTACTTTAGGTTTAGTCATAATCAGTCTCTGTAATTTCTTTCTAATGTATTGAGCCATAACTAAATCCTCATCAGAATCCTCTGTTTCATCCAAACTCTGAGGACCTGGAGCTGGACAAGGAGGAAGTAAAGACTCCTTCCTTGTAGGAATATTTGAAGAAAGCTCCAAAGAAATGGCCTCTTGAATTTCCTTAGCAACTTTATTTTTTAACTCCTCAGGAACATCATAATGATTAACTGCTTCATTAGAAGTATAAAAACCTGAGTTGGCAACAAGCGATTTGGGCCTTGATTAATTAATATAATAGCTGTTCAGATGAGCGCCCACACAGACCAAAAATCAAGTGGTATAGTTTCTCGGGTCTGAAATGCTTTTTCCACATTTGTTCTAACTTTGTCCCCGACTTCTCAATCTAAAGTTCTTGTATCAGGAAAACAAAAATTAAACTCTGCAACTATTTGCACACAACTATCTATCTGCCTTCTAGAAACTTGTGCTCCATTAATACGAAGAATATGATGAATTAAAGAAACAAAAGGAGTAGACTTACCCTGTCCATTATACTTACTTAAATTGCAACTCTACCCTAAAAACCTCCTCTGGGTGCAATGTCAGGGGTCCCTGTTGGGGCACTAGCTGCCACAGTGCAGTGACCACAGTCCAAGCCTGAAGGGCTTGGGGATCCCCACGGATAGAAATCAGGACACAGGGGATGCGGAGGTTTATGTGCCAGTGCATGTTTATTGTGAACCAAACCAAGCTTATATAGGAATCAGATCTAGAGTAACCAAGGAATAATTAAGGATACTTCACTAAACAGAAAGTAACCAAGGAATAACCAAGGATACATTACGTTACTACTAAGAATACATTACGTCACCAACCAAAACTCACCCAACGTTGACAGTATCCAAGATTCAGCTGCATAATATTTATAATATCTTAGATATAAGGTGCACTGTTTGTGATTACTCTTAGCAACTACTGTAATTCATTATTTCTACATAGAAACCAAGCTAACGGTGCCAAGAAACTCCGGTGTCCATAAACTGAAACAGAACTCTTTAGTTACGCTTCCAAGACTGCCAATCTTTCTCCAATGCAAGGCAAGCTGCCACAGCCTAATGCAGCTGTGGCTGTGCCCATAATAATCGTAGCTCCCAACAAGAAAGGACTTTCTAAATCAGAATTTATTGCTTAGGAATTAAGACTAACAATTGACAAATGGGACCACATTGGAGTAGAAAGCTTCTGTATTGCAATGGAAACAATTAAGTGAAGAGGATGTCCACAGAGTGGGAGAGAATCTTTGCCAGCTATGCCTTATAGAAGATAAATTTCCATAATATACAAATAACTCAAAAAACAAAGAATCAGAAAATTAACAGTTAAATAATTTCATGATAATAGCAAAATAAAAACAAAAACAAATAATCAAGAAAACATGTGACCCAATTAAAAACTATACTGCATGGGGTCTAGAGGGATGGCTCAGAAGTTAAGAGCATTGACTGCTTTTGCAGAGGACCTGAGTTCAGTTCCCAGCACACATATAATGGCAAACAACCATCTCTGACTCCAGTTCCAGGGGATCGGTCACTTCTTTTGGCCTCCATGGGCTCTGCATGCATGAGACTCAAAAATGGCCTACAGTTCTGAATGAAGACTTCTGAAAAGAAGAAATAAAAGTGACTAAGAAATACCTTAAAAAGTGTTCAACAACCTTAGCACTTAGGGAAATTCAAATTGAAACTACTTTAAGATTTTGTCTTACTAGAATGGCTAAGATCAAGAAAGTAAATGACAACAAATGATGATGATCATGAGGATGTGGGGAAAGAGGAACCCTCATTCACTGCTGCTGGGATTACAAACTGGAAATCAGTGTGGAACTCTTTTTTTTTTTTTTTTAATCATAAAGTTCGTTTAAATTTTTCTTTTTTTAAAAAATGGTTTTTATTGAATTTTTTTGTATTACATACACAATATCTCAAACAATCTTAACCACCATTATAACACCAGGACCCTCCTGTAGCCCCCCACTGGAACCTATATATTCTGTCATCCATGTTAAGGTACACTATGTCAACTCAGTGTCCCCAGATGTTCCCCATTGCAAGCCCATCCACTGAAGTTTAGTCAGCCTGTCTAGAGTTTCTTGTTTTAGGAAGATCAGCTCTTCCTCACCTAGCCATAATCAGTTGCCAGTATTTCTTCAGCTAAGACTGAGGTCTGCTGCTGGGTTATAGTCTGCCTGAGTTTGCATGGGGCTTGTGTATGCTGACACCATTCCCATAGAATCATTTGATCAGAGTCCCAGGAGCTTGTAGAACTCTGTTTCCATATGGTCATGCACCTCCTCCCTAGCTCTTACAATCGTTCTGCCCTCTTCTGTGATGGTCCCTGAGCCCTGGGTGGGTGAAGTTTAAAGTAGCAGTTCTGTCCACGGAACAACATTCCAGTGTGGAACTCTTGAAACCCTAAATAAAAGTATATCTACCATATGATCCAGCTATACCAAAGAACCTGACATCGTATTACAAAGATACTTGCCCAGCCAGGTTTGTTTTTGCTCTTTTCACAAGAGCTATGAAATAGTAGTAACCAAAATGTCTCTCAACCAATGAATGGATAATGAAAATGTAGTACATTTACACAATGGAGTTCTATTCAACTGAAGAAAAATGAAACCATGAAATTTGCAGGTAAATGGATTTAATTGGAAACTTTCACACTAAGTGAGGTAATCCAGACAGAGAAAGTATGTGGTGCATGTTCCCTCTCATTTGTGGACCTTAGCTCCAAATCCTTAGATGTGAGTGTATATCCTGATGTAACCACAGGAGTCAAAAAAATGCATACTAACCAGGTGTGGAAAGGGGATAAAGGAACTCAAGAGAGGGGATAGCAGGAGACAGGCATTATCAAGGGGAAAACAGGGGATACATAAATTGGAGGAGATGGAGAAGGGAGGCTTATACAGGAGCAGAAAGAGGAAAGAGAGAAAAGTAATGTTTAAGTGGTGTGAAAAACCAAATGGCAATGTAGTTTTTAGTAAATCTACTGAAATACAAATATAATATAAACTGAGTCCATGTGTATAACTGAGGGCAACATAACACAAATCAAAGGGCAATGCAAAGGAAATATCCCTTTTGAATTGTTGGTCAGGGTAGTCCAAGGGACTCCTGAAATGATACAGGCTATTGCCACAGCCTTTGATTGCCTCCAAGGACTTGACGGTAAGACTCCATTGCTGAAAACATGACATATTTTGAACACAGGACAGGGAGCAATCCAGGTGGAACTGCCCTTCTCCTCCCTGAAGACTAGCTCTCATAGTATCATAAGATACTATGTAAACCTCCAAGGGAGAAACTCAATCAATGATCCTACCCATCTGTAAATCCTACCAACCAAATAGTTACCAGCACAGTAAAGTATCTCTATTGATACAGTAGTGGCACTTTTATATAGGAGGTAATTAACAGCTGTCTAATTGAACTTAAGGCCCACTCAATGGGTAAGAACTCAGGTGTGGTACTATAAACATACCCAAGTAGTAGTATGTTTGCTAGAGGTGTCAGAGACCTTAGAGAAAAACCTATTTCTATCACTTCCCTAGACCAACATAATTTCTTGCTACATTTTATATGCATACGTTTATATTTATACACAAGTGTACCTCACCTTTTATCAAAGAAGCTTCTTTTTGCAACAGTTGGAGACTATCACAAAGTTCTACAACTGATCAAATGCAGTGAATTAGTGACTATGAGGTGCCCAGTTCCAAAGGACACATTTACAATAGAATCTCTGTAATTAGGACCCAGGGAACATTGCTGAAGAGGGAGTGAAAAGAAAATAAGAGCTAGAGGTACGAGATACCTGTTGCTAGTTAGTGCATTCTAGACATGATAAGGAAGTTAAACCAATGAAATAGCCACTGTTTGGTAGCCTAAGATCTTCACAATGGCAAAACAAGTTGACATGCCAAGGTGGATGGGAGGAATGTCATGGGGTCCCATCGGTATGAAGGGCTACAGGCATCAGTGGATGCTGAGGAAGGGATAATCCGTTTTCTCCAGGGACTAGCTCCTTGAGAGGTTATTTAACGCCCATTGGGCAACCCTAAACACAGGTGCACATGAATACCACTATATGAACTCAGTGTATTATATATGTACATATATTCATATCTATAGTATTTATATGTAATAATAATAATCAAGGAATAGGACAAGAAATTGAGATGGAGTGGGGGACATCGAGGAGTCAGTGGTGGTCTGGGAAGTTTAGAAGTAATGGAAAGACAATTCTCATGTATGAAATTCTCAAAAATAGGGCCAGAAAAATTTCAGAAGAAGAGAAACCATGTGATGTTAGTGATTAATTGACCATAAATATTATAAGCTTGAATATTATACATAAGAATCTAAAAACATATTAGAGATTGAAATGAGAGGATAATAAAGGAAAACCCTTGAAGAAGTTATTTTCTGATTCTATGAATATCATGTTATACCATAAACCTGCACATTTACTTCTGTCAATTAAATATAGTTTTTAAAATCTTCAACTCTATTAAGTAAATTTTTAGGAAGATAAGTTTTAGTGCACCCATTTTCTGTGCAGCACAGTTTTAAAAGCCATGCATTGATTTCTGTAGGCAACAACAGATGTTCAGTGGAAAGTGGGGTAAAAGACACAAACAACACGTTTGCCTCATCTATGTTTTCGCCTGTGATGCACACTAACTATGATATCTATAATTTCAGGACTTAAAATAATTAATATCATAAAACTAAACACATATATTCTTAACATATTAGACTGTAATCTTTAAAAATAGGTCACTGAACCATAGTTATATATCCTGGATGGAAATATCATAAATTTAAAAGATAACTGCATTTTATAGAAAATCCTGTTGAAAATTAGGTTTGAAGATTGGAAGCTATATTTATCACTCATATTTTCACAGGTGACCTGGTTTTCAGTTAGCACATAGATCTAATTGAATTTTAACAGATGAAAAACATAGATAACCACTGATGAATATTAGATTAGTCATACATAAGTATTTTTGTGACTGTATCATATTAAGAACCAAGTCACTGAAATTGCACGTTAATAGTCAGCCTTGAAATGGTTATCACTCCATACATCATTTTAGTACTCAGCTTTACTTAAAATACATTCCAACACAGACTTAATGATTCTAAAATTTATATGGAGATACAGATGACTCAAAATACTCTATAAATGGTTGAAGGGAGAGAACCATGTTTGAAAACTGACTTATAGAGTTAACTTTATAGCTATAGCAGAAAATTCAGGAAATTCATTTATAATAAGTAGATATTAATTTACAAGAAAGAGACAGGAAGAAGAAGTTAGATAGATGATAGATGATAGATAGATGATGATGATAGATAGATGATAGATAGAATAGATGATAGATAGATAGATAGATAGATAGATAGATAGATAGGTAGTAGACCCAAGCCTTACATTCTTAATGAAACTTAGGTCAAGATGAATCATTGAGTAAAGTGCAAACACACATAAGTACAAAATTCCAAGAAAATAATATAAGATAAACTCTATATTATCTCGAGTAGAGAAGCACACCAGTGTCTTAAAATATATCAGCAAAGGCTGGATCCAAAAAAGAAATGA